GGAAGATTGAAAATCGGTAGGGAGAGTCAGCTAAGTCGGTAGGCGGTAGAAACATGTCAAAAGCGGTAGACTACCGCCCAAATCGGTAGGGTTGGCAGGTATGCTACACTGATAAAAACGATGTTTTGGTCCAGGAACACTATCAGGCAGGGACGAAATACACCACAAATCAAGACCGGACAGGGACAAAGACGACAAATCAACAAAGATCACAAGGAGAGATAGGACTATAAAGACACCAGACTAAATAGAAAGACAACACACAGCTGGAGAAGGCAGGAATAAACTCAAAGGCAGAAGGTGAAAACCATCATACAATCACACAGGCGGGAAAACAAAAAGACAGGAAGTAAACCCTGAGAAAAACACCAAGAGAAACACATTTCAAAAATAAAACAGGAAACATTAAACACAAACACTAAGATCATGACGGTGCAGACAGCAAAAGGATTTGAAAAAGGATATAAACAGTGAGTTTTTAGGGTGGGCTAAACATTATACAACCCCTTATGCGGTACATTACAGTATTTGTATCCTCTGCAGAGATCAGAACATACCTAAATCTGACTCTTTTTCCTTCATATACTACTTTAAATGCTGACAGTTTTGTTTGAATATACTGTAGTTAAAGTTATATTCAAACTTTGTTTTTAACATGCTCAGGATTTAACCTTGGTTTAACCCTTTAACCCAGAGAATCTAAACTAATGAAGTTCATCCAATACAAATAAATAAAATAAGAATAATGGAAAAAGAAAATCGCAAAATAAAATTGTTATTACTGCTAATAATATAATAATAATAATTATAATATTATTTCTGTTTTCACTCTTAGCAGCTGTTTGTTTTGACAAAAACACACATTTACCTTTCATCCTATACAGTTCCTTTCTTTTTGTAGATGTTTCAGATTACCACTGCTTACACTTCAGACATAACCCCAATACAACAGAAGGGAATGGTATTTGGTTTGTCTCTCCCAAAAGGAATATACATTTGACAAACTTGTCAAATGTTAAATGACAAAACTTCCCACAATGTGTCTTTCATTCCGAAAAATCCTTAGACCGCCACTGTGAAGAGTTTTTTATTGAAATGTTTGGCAATCAGGTTTAAATAATAATAATAATACATTTTATTTGTAAAGCACCTTTCATTGCTAAAAGCAATCCCAAGGTGCTACAGGAGGCATAATAAAAACAAACAAAAGAAACACAAGTTTAATCAAAGGCTTTTTTTTAAAGAAAGGTTTTTAGGCCTTTCTTGAAGGCGTCAGTGGTCTGTGGAGTCCTCAGGTGGTCTGGGAGGGAATTTCACAGGTGAGGAGCAGCTGCACAGAAAGCCCGATCCCCCATTGTGCGGAGTTTAAATAGAAAGTACACTGTAAAAACAGTTCCGATGGTGAAGTCAACAAAACTCAATTTTTTTATGTAATTTACTTGCCCTAAATTAGTTTTTTTTCAATGTGCGTTTAACCTGTTTCACGCCTTCCCCCCGGTACCGGGCGGATAAACGCGTCATTTGCAGGAAACAACGTCTAAGGAATCTTAATATTGAATAAAACTATGAATGTGTTATATCCATGTAACGGGAAGAAACTCAGCTAACTGATCTTTTTAATTTTTTTTTTCAAAAAAAAACCCACAATGCTAGCACTCAGCCTCTGAATTAGCCTCGATCGAAAAAACGGGACCGACAAAGGCACATAAACTCACTCAGAACTCCCTTATTACTTATCCTAGATGCACAACCAAACACTATTTTTTGGTGTCCTGGAGACACTGAATCTAACGGTGCCCACCTCAACACTCAGTGATAAACATTCGCGACGCTATCAACGAAAGCGTACATCATCACATGTGGAGCCAAGAAGCTAAACATGTAAATATGGCTCACCTTGGTCAAAAGTGGTCTTCAATGGCATTAAAACGATAAAAAAACGATGCTGCAGTTAATCCATAGGTTCATCCTATGTGTCTGTGCCTTCTTTGAAATTATTTCTGATAATCCATAAGCAATACAACTGCGTTTTAGTTTCCAAACTCCAGAAGGAGACATTCCTCCAGTTTAGTTTCGCTTTCCACACGCGAAGCGGCAACATTTTTTCTTTACAGTGTGTGTCTATGTGAGTATCCTCCTTCGATTCTATTGGCTCTAACGGTCACAAGGGTATGTCAACCAACCAGATCAAGCAAGGGGGGCCAGAGATAGGTCAAATCCACCCAAATGACCCCAGATGGCCCAGTTTTTGGCTAAATCTCTCTAAAAAGGTCAAATTTCACTTGTTTTGCATCAATCTTGATACAGGGTACTTATTATATGTTGTACTTTGGATTCCTAAAGCTTTTAGTCTACTAACCCATCATCCAAGGGTAGTTTTCACTATCTGTAAAAAATAATTTTTGGACGGACACTATAATTTACAGTTTTTTACTATGTAAAATCTGAATTTTCTTTAAAATAAAAAACATTTATATTGATTCTGACACTTCTACATCCAACTCACAGGTTTATCATTACTTTGAGAAAAGATTATTAATTTAACCCTTTTAGAAGGGAAGATATGGTCATTTGTTCTGGGAATGTCATTTTCGAGCCTGAGACCTGAAAAACAGGCTCAGAGTGGAACAGGTTAAATAAGTAACACGTAAGCAACAATGAGAACATGTTTTAAGAACTCATTAATTTGTAAATTAATATCACATTTTCTGAACTTTCTTTAAAAAGACGTTTTGGAAAACGTAATAAAAATGCTTTTTTCAACGCCACGGTCATGCCACGCCCTCAAACGAGAATACCGCGGTGTGAGACTTCCTGTTCCTCTTTGCAGCGGTTCTTCAGCAGTTGGACACGTGTTTGCGTTGGATCCTCCTCAAACCATCGTAAAACAAGTAAGCATGCCACCTGAGTTATTAATTACTGCTTTTTAACTAGAAAGTGTTATTTACTTTTCTTGTATTCACTGTTTTGAAGGAAACATCGACATTTTAATGCATGCCAGCGCCATTACTGCTGTTAAAGTTAGACTCAGCCCTGTCGTGCTCATGTAGTCTATTTCTTCACGCAAAGTTGTTGGGCAAAGTTTGCATCAAGTGCTTACCGACGCAATTCTGTTAAAAGTGGTTAAGTTAAGAGTATGTATTAAGAATCAACTCCGCAAACTGTTCCCCTATGCCGCTCTATGGCGTTGGCCGGGCACCGTGATGCGGCCGCGGGGCTCAGAGGCTCTCCTGCCGTGCATGTTGTGCGGTAAAATACCTCCGTTAAAACTATTCCCTACTACTTTATAACCCAGCGGTTATGTAAGAGTAAGTTACTAATGCGCCTATTTGATATTAATTCCTCTATATGTATTTCGCCGTTTGTTTTACTGTGAGCAATGAATTATCTTTCAACAATCTTAGTGTACCCAATTTAAACTCATAGTCTGCAGTTACAGCATCGAGTTGTTATTATACAAAATTAAGTGCAAACTATATTTTTCATGCTTTTGCAACGCTATCCATGTTGGAATCTGCAGGAGAGTTAACGTTAGCTCTCAGTAGAAAGTGACGGAGGTGATTTCAGTTAAGGTGCATTCAGGCGCAATTCAGTAAAAGTGTGTATTGGGCGAGGAGGGATGTATAACGTCAGCAAGATGTGTTCAATGTAGTACAGTAAAATGCAGTCTTTAGCGAGAAATATCAATAATTACAGTTTTATTAAGGAGATGTTTTACTACAACATAAAGTAGATATTAGACAGTATGCAAACGAGATAAAGGAGTGTATATTGAAGTAATTAGGATCTGCTGTGTAGAGAATCATGGAATTGTACTGGTATCTAACAATGCCATCCTTATAAATGTATATAAATACAATACCGTTTTAAATGATACTTGTGTTTTAATGTTTGATTCCATTAATTGAATTAAATATGTTTTAATGAATTCTACTGAAATGATTGTTACATTGTCATCATGTAACTATTTTGTTCTTTAATTTGCCTCACCAGAAAACAGTCACACCTCCTCTTGAAGACATTTTGCCTCCTGCTATGGACTTCAGGTTCACATTAGGTAAGCCCTTGAGTGTGTCAGAGTTGTTGTTTCAGAGGTTAATTCAAGACGTGTTATGTTTACATACTAATATAATGAGCTTCAGGTAAACGTACCCATTTCTATTTTTTGAATCACAGATGGGATGGAGATGTAAACTATGCAGCATGTCACCACTCAAAGTGATATTTTAAAACATTATCGACTCCATCATGGAACCTTTGGACAGAAACGTGCCCTGCCCTGCATTCATGTAGACTGGCCTGCGCTCTCACTTATCAAGATAAAAGTTGAAATAATCGTCTGTTCTTTTTATTCTAGGACCCATGTGCCACTTTATATACATCTCTGAGCATGAGGTGGGGTTAAAAAGAAGTAGTTGGACATTTTATGAACTATATAAATATCATGACTATTTGGTTCATTTTCTTGCAAACCAGCCTTTTTTTGATGGCTTAAACCCCTTGTAATGCATGTGAATAGCACCTCTGTTACCGTCTGTTAACAGCTAATGTAAACTGGCTCGTTATGTTTTCAAGACAGATTTGATTTTTGTTTTGAGGAAAACACATGGTGTGTCCTGATTTGTACTCAATTTAGTGTTTTGTTTGTATTTACAGGGAACAGCAGAGGTCGAAGTGCACCAGGCTCGTGATGCACAGCATGAAGTGATACGTTGCCCAATAGCCAGATGCAGTTATAACCATCAAGTAATAACCATGTGTCTCCATGTATGTTAATGTGTTGTGCTTTTAAACAAACTTGTGACAACTGTTTTGAAATAATCACATTTTAATAAAATGTATTAACATGTCCATAACGTTCCCTTTTTTAATTTATTTGTTTAATCTGCAATGTTTCAATGCTATCAAATATTTAAAGGGTTGGATTGAAATCAGGAAGAGTTTGTCGTATATAGGTTCCGGCAACTCAATTGTGTTTTATAATTTACTTTATTCTCGTGTGGTTCTTAGCAGATTGTTATTTGCATTGGTTACACTTAATATCTGGGCTTTTAATTGTAGGCTCATCTCATCTTTTCATATGCAGAAAAAATCACATTAGTGAGTTTACCCAACTCTTAAAATTGCTTGGAATCGCTTGACACATATTTTTTAAGTTTTACCAAAGCAACAGTTTTTACAGTGTACAGTAGATCGCAGAAAACCGTTTATAATTTAAGTAACATGCTACTGTATTAGATCAAGGTAAAAACTGAACAACTGACTGAAATACAAAGATTGTCCTGAGGGTGGCACAAGAGATTAAGCCATAGTTTCATTTAAATTAAAAGGGTTTGTAACCCTGTGATCATGTATGCTGTCACTAACTTCCAGAGATATCAGCTCATAGACTTTGAAATATATTGTGTGCCAACATTTAACCTGAGGGTGGCAGAATAAGAAAACTAATGGAAAGCATAAAAGTACTCAACCATTACAATGTCTTGTGTACAAGGGGATATGGTGGCTCTGAAATAGGGAAAAATGACAATAATATATTAATATAGGTTACACATTATAGGGTTTACCGTTGATGCATTTCCCAATGAGGTTTCTGATTAATAATCATCAGTAATGTGGATATAATGATTAAATTGGTAAAGGCAAATAATGGAACAGCTATAAGTCTGGTAGAAAAATTACATGTATCACTTAAATGTAATGCAGACATAGAGAAGTTAGATTTGGATATTACGATTAACAAAACGTAGGTCTCATATCACAATAAAGATATAATATTCATATATTGCAGAGCCCTGTGTAAAACATCTTTAGGTGCGCTGACAAAACATGAATATCTAAAGCAAACTTCAGGCTAATGAGACCAGTAGTTGTATGACAAAGCAAACTTTTAACCACCCGTCTCTGCTGCTAGCAGAGAAACATGGAGCAAGAGTAACAGAAGTATTCAGTCTACAGTTTGGTAGATATGGTTTGTGCAAACTTCTTTGTTTCACTTTGGCTCTTCAGCGTGGTCTTATTTCTATTGGGAAAAGGGAATAAACAGAAGAGTATATTAGTTACATGTTCCCTTTTTCTGGAACAAAATTAATCCTGTATGACAAATACGAATATCAATTAATTACAAATATTAGAGGGTATGTTGTTCGTGTCTCCATATTGCCTGACATGCAGTACTTTGGAGATGCGTGAAAATAGCTAATATTGGTCAACATAAAAAAAAAAATATGATCTCATTTGGAGATGCTAATGAAATGCTGTTATTCATTCTGAACAAAAATAAAGCCAGATGTATTAATTGTGCAGGGTGTAACAAGGAGACACTGTCGGATGCTTACGTGTTGCCCTCAGCCTCATCGGTTGAATCAGGAAGCTCTTTCCTCCTGGTCTCAGGAAGAAGGAAGCCCAGGGCTCCACTGACCAGTGTCAGGCTGCTGAAGACTACGGTGGGTATGGACCAGTGGTACACAGCCAACATGTTGAGCAGTGGAGCCAGCAGGCCACCAACCCTGCTGGCAATGGAGCCCAAACCAGAGGCTGTTTGTCTGAAACACAGTTTTAATAGAATTTCACAGCCTTAGAACTATTTTTCAAGACAGTTTGAGCCGTTGAACTAACTGTAATGCTCTTAGTTGCCAGAGAGTTGACAAAATGGTCTAGAACACAGGTTTTCTAAAGATGTGTCTAAAAATGCAACTTTTGTGTTAAATGTTCGGAATTTTTTGAATATTTACTTTTGTCACAACAGGGCAAAAGATTTGTTCATTGTCTGCCTCATGTTCCCTTCTCCCATTGGAGTCAATTAACTCAGACCTACCACTGTTCTCTTAAAGACGCTAGGCAGGGGGGAAACCCATAAGAAAATGTACTCCGTTTGCTAAACCGTCTTTGGTGTTATTCTTGTGAACACTGGCGAATATACCAATTACTACAGTGAGATGGGAGGCTTACCGAAAAGATGTTGGGAACAGCTCCTGAACATACACATTGCATATGGATCCTGCCCAGTTAATGAAAAAACGTCCTGAAGTTGCTAACGTGGTCATAGCAACAGCATTATCTTTGAAGATAAAAACACAGTGTCAGATAATTAAACAACTACAATGTTACGAGATGGGTGTTTGATTTTAGAATGAGGCTTCCAATGTTATCGAGAAATCTGGAAAAAGTTATGGTAACACTAACATCCCTTAAATACACCATGAATATCTGAACGTAACCCTTAAATGAGCATTCACACATAAATATGTTGGGAAATTAATTGGTGGTATTTTTACATTACACCCATATAACACTTTTTGCACCCATATTACACATTAGAACAACCCTATTACACCGCTGTTACACCATTATTACACCCATGTCACACCTATCAGACCCGTATTTGACATTAATATTACACACATATTGTTATTAAATCCATGTTACAGCAATATCACATCATAATTACATCGGTATTACACCAATGTTACCCCATATTACACCCATGTAACACAAATATTACACGGTTATTACACCAATATTATAGATTAAAACACTCTTAATACACCTGTATTAAACCTATATTATACCCATGCTACACCCATGTAACACTGTTAGTACACCAATATTACAACCATATTACACTGTACTGACACTGTTACAACCTACATTTTACACATGGACACAGCCTTTCAAATGACTTTATCCCAAAAGGATACAGAAACCATTTAGAGGTAATGTTATGGTGCAGTCACTAACTAACCACCATTGCTATCCTTTGCTACTGGCCGCTAGTTAAACTAAACATCATAGAGACAACACCCAAAGTGCTTTACCTTGAGGAACAGCTAGGATTAAGAAGCATAAGAATCCCCCGATCAGAAGAGTTGACATCAGTGACACTTTTCTCCCCAGTGCTTCTAACAGCCATATGCAAAGGATATGAGCTGGGAGTTCAGTCAGACCAAATATAAGCTGCGTCAGGAAGATGTCCAAGCCAAGATTTCCAACATTGAATGAAAGGGAGTAGTATGTAACATTCAAGGAGAACCTGATGATTAAAAAAAAATAAGTATTTAGCATGTTGAAAAATAAGTTGTTAAATTCATTATCACCTAAAGTAAAAATCTCAAATATGTTTTTTATCAGTCTCTTTTGCATTTATAGGCTTAAAAGAGTTGTTATGTGTATTGTAAAATGAAACTTACCATGCCAATATTATGGTTAAGAAATACTTCCTAAGCACAGATGATTGCATGAGAATAATTATGCCTCCCTTTCTCACAGTTTTTTTCTCAACAATCTGTAATGCACAGGGGATGGAAACAATATCATGCTAACATTTGCTTAGGTTAGCAGATCATAAGCGTTAGATTTGCAAAAGTTAGGAGTTAAGAGTTACATTTAGATGTCTTTGCCGGAGATCAGACATTGTAGAAATGTCTTTCTGTTATAGTAATTACTTAATAAATAAACACCATGCGTTTTTTTTATTACCAGTATGACGGTAATATTGCATTTACGTTAAGTCTTGATACAATGGTAAAAAAATAAAAACTTTTTTTTCTTATTAAGGGACCTTTTCCAGAAGAGACTCTGGAACAGTGCATTTGTTAATGGCTGCCACTTTGGTAATCAGCTGTTTAGCCTCCTCTGTCCTGCCTCTGTCCAACAACCACCTGGCTGACTCTGGTATAAACCTGTCAGAAACAAGAAAATAGGCATTCTTTAATAATCTGTAATTTCAGGGAAACGTCTGATTGTAATATAAAAAGAGTCAATACACACACACCATATGTAAATAGCAACAACTGCCAGTGGAGCTGCTGTAATTAGCTGAGCCAGTCTCCAGTCTCTGATGAAGTAGATCATACCAGCCAGGAGGCACTGTCCAACTGCTCCAAATAGCTGAGTAATACATGCTCCCCAGGATCTTTTGGACACCCCGATCCACTCAGTGGCTAGAAACGGGAAATACATTAGAGTAAACCTTGAATTTATTACGCCAACATCCATATACGTATGTGCCAAGAACAATAGAGACCTTAAAAGGACAAAATATACAAAAAAGTTAAAAGACAGGTTTGATAGTGAACACGTGAATAAAATAGCCCAGGAATGGCAATATTATATATGTGAAGAACTCATCTAAACGTGAAAAATATTTAATTAAATTGAGGTAATAGCTAATAAAGCGAATAAAAGCTAATAAATCAAGCCTTAATGTATACTGTATGTAGGAGCCAATTAGCGCTACGGATATAAGTAGGAACCAATGTTGGCTTTTGCTGGAAGGCTAAACTGTTTTTGACCACACCCACACACACACACACACACACACACACACACACACACACACACACACACACACACACACACACACACACACACACACACACACACACACACACACACACACACACACACACACACACACACACACACACACACTGATGTAAAGTTATTGTGCTGTAAGTTTCATTTTTGTACAGTGATGGAATAAAAATAATTTTATGAAGAGAAAGGTCTTTGTGAGTAGCTAGTTAACTGTTAGCATCAGCTAGTTTGTTACCTAAATGTTTTAGCTACTGTTACAAGTGTTTACACAGAGATTCTACAGCAGTATGTAGTACATTATATGATTAACATTAACTGTACTGACTGTTGTGATTTTATGATGAACATTAGCTTTTGTCCAGTGTGTTTGGCTACGAGTGTTAGCAGTTTAGCTAGCTAGCCAGACATCTCCCACTGTGTTCAGGAAAATAAATTGCTATTTGGAAAAAGATAAATAAATGAATGTGTGCCGAGAAATTAAAGGGAAAATTGAAGAGTTAAAAAAAAAAGAAAAAATTATCTTTTACTGTAGCCAATGGGATGAAAGCAACAGCTTGTGGTTGGCGTGGGTAAGGGACTCCCTATCCTTTCTCTTGGTTTTCTTTCTCTTTCCTTTTGTATTATTGTTTACATAATTTGTATCTGTATATATATATATGTCCCTCTGTGAGGGTAGAAAACAATACAAAGTTGGTCACAAAAAAAAAACAGAGGTTACATGGCTTGACAAAGATAACCCAAAAGAATAATCTTTTAAAATGTAATATGATGTAGTATACTTTACCCAATATGACGCCATTCAGTCGATAACCGCCATAGCCAAGTCCCAATATGAACTGGGATGCCATATACAAAAAGAAGTTTGGACATAATCCAGTCGTGACAGTAAATATGAGCATCACAACGACTGGGATCTGAGCGGCTCGTTTACGACCAAACCTGGAAGAGATACCTCTCTGGTCAGCATATGTCATATAACCATGTCATTCTTTATATGATAGGGTTCATCGAAAAAGACCATACAGTACAGCGTTAAGAAGACGTATTCTGTGCAATTTCAAGTACACTTACGATTCAGCAAAAGGTCCAAATAAGAGACAACCAAAAAGAATGCCAGCCATCAACCCTGCTTGAGCTAATTCCAACAAATTACTCTGGTCACAAACTAGATTAAACTGTGGACAAATAAAACAATAATTAAGAAAGGACAGTTTTATTAAGATTATTTTTATTATGAATGACTATGAACCAGACCAATGATTTACATCAGTGACTATGGTGGCCTCGTACAGCGTGTTGGAGTACACCCATCCATTCTGGCACCCTGTGGTCTCATTGAGTCCGTACTCCCTGATGGCACCAATAGACCAGTTCACAGGGACAAACATCTGACACTTGCTAAAGGTCCCGTCATCCTCTCGGGGCAGAGTCAGGTTCAGCTGCTCATCTGTGGTCAGGTTAGAGTCTGCCCGAAGGATCCAGTCTGTGTTACAGTGTCTATCTGGATCTGACTGAATAAAAAATACACTGGCAAAGTGAAAAGGCAGGATAAGATTTGGGAAGCAAAGAGCAAAAAGAGTGATCTTCTGAAATAATCCAAACTCTCCAATGGTGCGGAGAATCTCTCCAAAGTCCGCCATGTTCAGGGAGATGTTTTGCCCTTTTTGCACAAATGTTGCTGCAGGATGACCTTTGAACAATGCCCATTAATGTTTAAACCCTGTAAAGTACATTTCAGGAAGGATGATACAGCACATTTATGGATATTTCATTTAGTAGAAAGAGATGGCCCATCTCTTTCTACTAAATGAAATATCCATAAATGTGCTGTATCATCCTTCCTTTGTGACTGTTTAACCAAATATGTCTTTACTTGGTATAATCTGCTATTTCCAGCACAGCGTCTAATAAAAGCACAATGCGGTTGCAGTGTGTTACTCTCAAACATTTCTTATCTCTTACAGAAAGTGTTGTTAAACATTTACCAAAGTTCACAATATGCTGACATAATATGTCGTCATCGTGACTTTGGTGAAACGGTTTCAAAATGAGTATTATGTAATGCTGTAAAGGATATTAACAAAAGACTGGTTACACTTTGGTCTGAAGAAGACTTAAAGGAGACTCAAAATAGTTGTAATGCTTTTCTAAAATATGTTTTGCTTTGGTTGTAACCTCTTCAGAATTGTTTCCTTTTACATGCCACACAAGTGAGAATGTGACAGGAATTACTTCTCTGAGGAGCTCCAAGAAATAGGGAGTATTTTTTCACCGGTTTGTTTAGATTCACCAAAGACGCACAACATCACAAGCAAGCTATCGTATCGAGGCAGCTGTAACCAGAAACGTCCATGTTCTGCAGTGAAATTACAATATTTATCAATGGATTCTGGTGACTTCGGAGAGAGGATAAAAAACAGCTTCAGTTCCCCGATGGAAAGGGCTGCTGGACAGCAAAGTAAAGTGTAGAAAGTATTCTAAATACAGCATACATTTACACTTGTTTAGGTATAGTTATTTCTTTAATATGGCAGAAATAATTTGTTCTGATGCCCCTGTCTACAGCACAACTTTGCTTCCATGCTGATTCTGTAGCTGATTATCTGTAGTTTATATACGATGAGTATGGATAAGTAACTCATACAAACCTACTTCAACAAATCTGAACTAGTCCTTTAAGCTCAAAGCGGCAGTATTGTATTGTTACGGTAATGCCGCTTCTGTCACAGCTCAATTGAAAAGAAAAAACTTGAGCCACACGAAGTTCTGTTTATTTGGATTTTTTTCTTATCTTTGTTGTTGAAATATGATACAGTTACCCCAAGGCCTTTTAAAATATTCAGATGAAACCATATAGGAAACGGCTCACCAAAGGATTGAGAAGTCACATGTACAGTAGAAAAAACAAAAACCCTATTATGTAACAAGGGTTTGTTTTATGTTTCTTGTAAAATCAGGTAGATGTTTGCTGAATTTGCAGCTCCACTGCATGTTGTTAGCTCTCATGTGAATTGTGTGAGTCATAAAGCAATACCCTCCTGTTTAAAGACTGATAAGACAGCAGCAGGTCACAACTTACCAGCTGTTTTTGCACAGTGGCTATGTGCAAGCTTGTCAAATACAGTTCTTTTGATGTAAAATGTCCTGTTGTTGACCACCCCCCCAACTGTATTTACATTTACAGATAAGGATATGCAATCCTAAATCAGGGTTTCCAGGGTTCAAGGCAAGTTAAATTATGGACTTAAAGACTTTTTTAATTCCACTCTAACTGAGATGTAGTTTCCTTCATATTAAATTGAATAATGGGGCATTCTACCGAATTAGTACAAAGTGCGGTCCCACAACAAGAAAAACTATTTAACAAAACAATTAAGTATTCAGACATAGATATTTACTAAGAATATGTTATGGTCTATTTAAACATAAGGCATTAAATTAGATAGTGATAAGCTTAATATATACAAAAACATCATTTATAGGGTACTTTCTATTGGGAAGCTGTCCCCAACCCTGACATCTAAATTTCAATTTCTGTAAATAACACTTAAATAAACACTCTTAAATGTTGTTCAATGGTGTATTTAGAAGATCTTTATGATTACATTCAAACAGAAGTCGGAATATTTAGATTTATTGTGGGTATCATTTTTTAATAAAAAAACTATATTCAAAAAATCATGTCCCCAGTTTTCATGTCACTACCGAAACACAAGGGGTTTTAGTCCAATGGCTGAGCCTGGTTTTTAGCCACACCCCTGCACTTTTGACTAGGCAGTGATGCTGCATCCCTGTCCCTCTTGGCTGAATGGCAAGTAGCTATATACCATACTTTTGATATAAATCGGTTCCAAAATCTGAAAATCGGCGTGTAACCTTAAGAATTGTCACTACCGAACACATATTATCTTCAATTAAGTAAACCTTTTCGGGGTTTTATGCAAAGTATTAGGTTTGTATGTGTGTAAACCTCTTCAAAAACGTGTATGTTAGCCATGTACTTGCTAGCATTCTTTAGTTATGCTCAATTTAAGCTAGAATCGTCACTACCGAAACATATGGTTAAGTTTCGATAATTGACATGATCGTTTCAGTAGTGACAAAATGGAATGGTAAGCAGGTAAATCCCACCATTTTGAAATAAATGTGTTTTAAAGTCTGAAAATCAGTGTGTTACTTTAAAGGTCTCTTATTATACTATTGTTAGGCATATATTATAGGTCTCAGATATATAAAAAACATGTCTATGAAGTGTTTTGCTCAAAATACCAAACAGATCACCAATTCTAGCCTCATTCCCCTCTATTTCAGCCTGTTACTGGGTCAGTAGCTTCAAACATTCACACTTCAACATAAGGCATGTTATGAGTTAAGATAAGCAATAAGGTTGAGGGAATATGAAACAACCTTGAGAACAAAATACTGTGGTCACTACCGATGTTTTGTAAAAAATAAAGTATATTGAGTTATCAAATAAAATGATATGATACTGATTGGTTTAATGTATGTTCAATTTCAACAATCATCAACTCTGGAATCAATATGATCAGTATTATGCATTTTACTAAGAAAGTTTGCATTATGATTTTTATGAATTGTATAAATTGAACTTTGAAATTTGATTAAAAATTCACTTATATTAATTTAATTGTGAAAACCCTCAAGAAATATTTGTTAAAATACTATTTAGAGAAGGGAAGGTAAAACAATCTTAACAGGTTAACCTCTTAAGCACGGCGGTCCCCCCATTGGACCCCTCCCACCATTTTGTTTTCGAGATAATGTCTCAGGGCTTCTTAACATTTATGAAACTATTAATGTGTAGCACCAGATTAACGGGAAGAATCTCAGCTAACTGAAGATATGAACCATTTTTACCAAAACAAAACACAAGTCTCATAAGAAGGGTCTAAATGACCCCTGAGCGAAAAAAATCTAACGCACTGCGGCACACAATTCAAGATAAAGGTACCCTTATTACTTATCGTAGCTGCACATACAATATAGCCTATTAAAGCTGAGACTCCACTGATTATTTAGGTATAGTATCATCACTGAGCGATCCGAACTTGCGACAGGGGAAGCAAACACAGACATCACAACACGTACCTTTACGGAGCTTTTACGGCAGATCGTCTCACCGTAGCTGTCAATTAGGTCAAAAGACGTGTTCAATGGCATTAAAACGAAAAAAAAAAAAATCTACAACTGTTGATCCATAGGTTGATAATGTACCTGTCCCTTTAAAAAAATTATTTATAATCCATAATTCCATTTTTTATGTAAAAATCGGAGCGGAAAAGTTATGCAGCTTCCGGTTTTGGTAACGCGTCACTCTCACTCCTTATTTGTTAACGTTTTGGTGTGTATAGAGTGGCGAAGTCACGCCCACTTACTTCCGGGTAATGGGACCTTATTTCGGAAAAATTATGCATTGAAGTCAATGGAGAGAGAAAACTTATCTTTCGATCCCGTTTGAATTGTGCCATGAATTACACATATGATGTTTGTCAATCTCAAAAAATAATTTCCATGTCAAAAAAGTCACAGTTTGTCGTAAAACTGTTGAAATATAATGGCGCATTTCCACTACACGGTCGGCCTCGGCCACACTCGGTACGGCTCGGTACGGCTTGGCCGCGTTGGGCCTTAACAGGGCCGACTCACTTCATGCTGCGCTTCCATTACAGTTTAGGAACTGGGGTAGTTACTATAGTAACGCAGTGTAGGCGGAGCCGTGACGTCATCTTCAATGAGAAATCCAGAAACACAACACAGCCGTTAGCTGTGAGCACTCAGAGCTCACAGCTCCTTATATATGTTCAGAAACTCGACAAAAGTTAAACAAGTACACACCACAGACTGCCTGTGTGAATACAGTCGCTGCTTTATTTATGTCTGTATAGGCCGTTGTTGTGAGTGTGGACGGTCGGGGCATATACTGCGTTAGCTTAGCCAATCTCCATCTAGAAAAACACGAATTTTAAAAGGTTTTTCGCCTGCCGTCTGTCTGCAGACTTGACAAAGCATTAATTCATGGTTTTTACTAACCGGTATCAGTATGTTGTTACTTCGGCATCATTTTGAAACGTGTATTACAATTAAATCACGGTCAAATATGTCCATCTTGTTGTAGTTCTAGCCCTCTTGCCAGCGCTCCTCTCTCTAGTTTAGCATACTCAGCCCGACTCAGCCCTGTTTGTTGGCCCCGATAGAACCACAATTTTCTAGGGCCAGAAAAGAGGGGAAAAAGTGGCCCCGCGCCGTGCCGCGCCGGAACGAGGCCTAGTGGAAGCACAACCAAAAAAGGGGACGGCACGACACGGCACGCTTAAAGCGAGCTACGCGCTGCAATGGAAATGCGCCATAAGACTATGAAAAATACGTAACTAGAAAGACTACAAATCCCAGAGTCGCGTAAGTGATGTCACAATTGTTTTCCTCCACCATTCAGATACCTAAGATCAGCGCATTATAGATATAATCTATCTATATGGCGCTGGCTAAGATAAGATAACTTTAACAAGATGCCTGTGTGCTTAGTACCAGGTTGTTATTATACCAGCAATGGGTCTTGCTCGTTCTTTTGCTTCCCGTCTGATGAAAGGACCAGGAGTGGCTTGATCAAGTTAGCTACCTAGCTAGTAGCTAGCACGTTAGTTAGCATTACAGCCTTGTCATTTTTATTAACCTTAACATGAAGTAACATTAAGTAACCCAAAATGTTAAACAGTAAGAGTAGTAGTCATATTTCGTGAACCCTTTGAATAGTACTGTCACCGGTGTGATCATTCTATAATACACCATTTAAGCCCGGGGGAGAAATGCTAACGCTAACGTTAGCATCGGCGATCTTCTCTACTTCATGCTATCTGCACAAATGGTTGACATTAAACATTAAAACGACCAGGCAGTTCAGAGAGAATCAAAGGAAGGCAGGCAGGCAGCTTTGCATGACATTGTTGACAAGACAGTAGTGACGGCCATCTTGGTGACGTGTGTTGTTGACCAGAGATGTAGTTCATTGAGCGTTTCACACAAACAAATGTGTTACTTCACAGTTTTACGACACATTTCTTTTTTTTTGACTTGCAAAATTATCTTTTAAATTGACAAACATCATATGTGTAATTCGTGGCACAATTCAAACGGGATCGAAAGATAATCTTTCTCTCTCCATTGACTTCAATACATAATTTTTCCGAAATAAGGTCCCATGGAGGTCCACCGGAAGGGGAGGGTCTTCGCCACTCTATATAACTTTCCCTCGATTCCATTGGCTCTAGCGGTTATAAAGAGATTTCATTCATCAACATCGAGCAAGGGGGGCCAGAGATAGGTCAAATCCACCCAAATGACCCCAGAAGTGGGGGTTTTTGGCTAAATCTCTCTAAAAAGGTCAAATTTCACTTGTTTTGCATCAATCTTGATACAGGGTACTTATATGTTGTACTTTGGATTCCTAAAGCTTTTAGTCTACTAACCCATCATCCAAGGGTAGTTTTCACTATAAGTACAAAATAATTTTTGGACGGACACTATAATTTACAGTTTTTTACTATGTAAAATCTGAATTTTCTTTAAAATAAAAAATATCTATATTGATTCTGACTTTTCTACATCCAACTCACAGGTTTATCATTACTTTGAGAATAAAGATTATTAATTTAACCCTTTTAGAAGGGAAGATATGGTCATTTGTTCTGGGAATGTCATTTTCGAGCCTGAGACCTGAAAAACAGGCTCAGGGCTTAAGAGGTTAATATAATACTTTTTTACTACAGTGTATGTACTATGTTTCGGTAGTGACCATTTTTGGTAGAGGAAGAACATTCCAATACAGTCTGAAAATACGATATCAAAATGTACGGTTCTTTTACTAGATATGTGTAATTTAGATATGGTACAAAAATATATATGAACAAAGTTTTGGGAAAAAAACATAGAACATTTCAAAACATTTCCAACCTGACTTTGGTCCAATTCGGTAGAATGGCCCATATATGTTACACAAAATGAGAGGCATTTTGTATATATATATATTTTTAGATTACAAACGTTCCATGTCTTAGCCTTAGACCTTTGAAAGAAAGGTCAAGACATATTAAAGGTAGGGTTACCTTTGAGAGGGGTTTGAGAAACCGGCTCGAGATACACTTTTTGTTATATTCCATGGAATGCTCTTAACATCCCGATAGCAATGAATATCTTACTGTAAGTGCTTTGACAAAAAATCCATAAAGAATGTCATCTGTGGAAGCCGTAATACTGTACAAAGCACGACCAATCATTTTAGCCGGCCCGGCTAAAATAACTGGATGGCCTACCTGCCTGTCAGCCTTCCATCTGTGCACAAACTTATCTCGTGCCCTCATTGGTCATGTGCGTTCGTGTGTGTTGGAGGAGGGGCTCTATAAGGAAGTGGCAGATTTTCTCCGGTTGTGTATTTTCAAATTCTAGCGATCTCGAGCCGGTTTCTCAAACTTACCTACCCTACCTTTAATACCATTTTTTTTAATGTAAATTAATTCCATGCCTTTTAAGACTTTTGAATGATTCCCAGAAAAACAGAGTTAAGCTTATGTTCCTTTAATTCACTGACTGATTTTCAGCATCTTACAGAAATGACAGCCGTAAATACCTACAATTGAGTAAGACATTAGCAAACACACAATGTGACTCAGCAACATTGAAGGCCAAAGAGCATCCACAATAAATATTGTATTCAGCAATGTATATCTCACACGACAAAAACATCTTTAAAAAAGATTAACCATATCGGCTAGAGTTTGGTGGAATTTCTGCCGTTTTGTTCGACCACGTTGGAGTCACTGCCCATTTTCTTCGTGCTCATATTCCTAGAAAGTAAAGGAAGACACCATTAAGACATCAAAGCTTGATATATGTCTTGTTTCAATTAAACTGTAAGATATATTAGGACATTGTAATTTTCTATTACATTGTCGTGTTTTTACGGATAAAGAAAAACAAGAAGGGGATTGCGATCTTGTCTAATTAAGTTCTAGTGTGGATGGAAGCCACTGGTTGGCCTTGAACTGACTCCCAATAAAAGCCAATATTGCCAAATGAACTCTGTAAATCATGCAACCATCTTACCTGTTGCCCTCGGTCTCATCAGCTGAGTCAGGCAGCTCTGTTCTCCGGGTCTCAGGGAGCAGGAAGACAAGAGCTCCACTGGTCACTGCAAGGCTGCTGAAGACTAAGATGGGTATGGCCCAGTGGTAAATGGCCAACATGTTGAGCAAGGGGGACATCAAGCCTGCTCCTCTATAGGCAATAGAGCCAAAGCCAACGGCAGTTTGCCTGAAAAAGTTCAGTTAACTTTCAAATGTATAATTTCTATAATAACATATTTTTCTGTATATATTTAATTTGCGTACCTGACAGAAGTGGGAAACAACTCCTGAATGTAGATCAAACATACTGAACCTGCCCAGTTCAAAAAGAACTTCCCGGCGGTAACAAGGGCTGTGATAACAATAGCGCAGTCTGAAACAAAACAAAAGGGTTAAACCCCACAGATGGTCAGATGCATTTCTCATCATGCAGTGAACTTAAAGGACAAGGGATTCACCTCGAGGGAAAGCCAAGGTTAAGAGGCAAAACAACCCTCCTGTCAGGAGGGTTGATATTAAGGATTTTTTTCTCCCAATTAACTCCAAAAACCAGATACAGAGGAGATGTGCGGGCATCTCAGTGATCCCAAACAGGAACTGAACCAGGAAGATGTTCAGACCAAACTTACCCACATTCAAAACTACGCAGAAGTAGCCAAGGTTTAACGAAAACCTTCAAATCACATGAACACAAACATGTTACAAACCTTTAAGCAATTATTTTATAAAATACATTTCAAATTGTGCTTAACTTACCAGGCGAAAGATAAAATTAACAAATATTTAACCAGGACTGCTGAGGTAAAAATTGCTTTGATTCCCCCACTTTTCACTTCCCGTCCCCCGGTGACCTGAAGGGCAGATGGATTAATATAGTGAAGACAAAACTTTGAGCAGTGATTCTATGAATTAGGCAGCAATTACATTCATTCTGATAAAAGGTTGATATCCCTTCAATAGGCAATATCTCTTTGCCCTGTTACACCCCTTTGTTTACAATCATATTTTAATTATATGGGTAATGTGTACATTTAAATGGACTTTTAACGAGATTTCATTGAACATTAAATATATAAAGGTCACATTTAAAAATAATAATTTGAGTATCTGAAAAGCAATTGGGATTAAATGTTTCTTTTTTTATTAATTCAAAAAATGAATCGCTGCAATGTGCATAAAAAGGAATTTGCTCCTCAATGGAGTGCCATCCACAGGTCAAATGTTTTAGCTTTGTCCAATAATTAGTTAACACCCTCATTAGCCTCAGCTTTACTTTGTGTTTAGAGGTTGTTAGCAAATGTTAGCAAGCTAACATGCTAAACTAAAATGGTGGAACTTAGAAAATATAACAACTTCAAAATCAATGGATTATAATTGTCATCGTCAACATGAGAGCTTGCTGCTGTTAGCCTTAATTTTAAAGCACCACTGTTCCTAGTAAAGCCCCACAGCAGTGCTAGCTTGGCTGTAGACTGTTAAATCGACAGCCATGCTAGCACTGCTTATAAAGTATATATTCACAAAATCCAATCAAATTGTATCTCATAAACCTCGTCCAGCAGGTTATCTGGGATTTTCCTTTTGTTGATTGCTGCGACTCTACGTATCAATTGATTAGCTTCTTCAGTTCTTCCCTGTTCCAGCAACCACCTTGCAGATTCAGGAATCCACCTGAAAAGATTAACCACAATCCAAATGTTGAATTCACTCACAAACGGTTATTCATTTAAAGTGGACCTATCATGCTATATTTGAATAATATATTGTAGGGCCATACCTAAAACATGTCTGTCAAGTGTTTTTTTCAAAATACCAAACAGATCATGCATTTTAGCCATGCCTCATTTCGCTCTATTTGCTCTTTTCCAGCCCTGTTTTTGCAAGGGCTGATTCTGTGAGAAGTCTTCTTCGCTGCTTTTGTGGCAGACTACAGCGCCACTTACAGGCCTGGCATATGTACTACAGCGTCTCCAGCACTTTCGAGCGGCAATGGCCGTGGCCGTGGCCCAACCCCCCATTCCCCTGATAGGTGGAGAGTTGCCCATAAAGGCGGAGCTCCCTGTTTCTGACGTCAGAACAATTTCAAATCTGTATCAGTCTGTATCAGCTCCGTTGCAGCCCCGTTTTTAGAGATTTGGGTATGGAGGAAAAGAGAGAGGGTTGTGTTTTCTGACACTTGGTGAGTTCCCTGACACACCGGGGACACATATTCATGTATAAAAGACGTACAAAAGTGCATTTTGCATGATAGGTCCCCTTTAACGGAGACAAACTCAAAATGTGATCTACCAACAAGGTGGATTACACAGTCTTCTTGAACACACTGGTTTTGCAATACACATGGTTTATTTGGTAGGTTTGAACAGAAAGTGGGTTAAAAGGACTTTAGTAGCCTATCTAATCAGTGTAATAACTACAATAGATGGCGGTGGGCACACCCCCATTTTGGTGAAGCAGGCAGGATTTGAAGCACAAGGGATTAGCAATGTAGTGCTGTGCTTGGGGGTCAGCAGCAACACCTAATTTAGTACCTTAAATTATTTAAGTTAAATAAAGGCCCATGAATATATAATGTTTTACATTTAGCATCAAACAACTATACAATGTCTCTGACAGTGAACTAAAGCCATTATCTATGCCAGGGATGGGCAAATGGCGGCCCCCCACCTCCTCTTATTGCGGCCCTCAGATTAATTTATAAACAACGTAATTAATAAAAAATAAAAAATTATTTTGCATTTTTTTTACTTGTAAAACCCTGTAGTAGTACTGTAGTACTTTTTACTTGTCGTCCACTAGACTTTTAATTACGTCGCGAGCTGCGTACATGATTTCGTTCGGCAGCCAAATACCGCGAAATAATCTGTGACGCGTTTGTGTGTATTGTGTTTGTTTCCACTCACAAGAAACGCCGGCTGTTGTTATGCCTGCTGTGACGTTAAGTTACCGCTTGTAATTATGCCTTTACAAGCTTAAAGGTTGTATTTATCATCTGAATTTGGCAAAACAACTTTCTAAAAACCAAGACTTTGTTTATTTGAAATCAGATGAAAACAAACTGTAACGGACCCTGCCGTGTTATCTATGATTACTATACGCTTTTCAGGAGGGGGAGCGGCGCTGAGGAACAGCAGAGTGCGGGTTGAGAGCATTTGAGACTGAGGTGTCTGTGTTGACATTCCCCTTATTGTGCGTCAGCAGAGACTACAAGTGTCTTTGGTTCAAGTTAGACAACTAATGTCTGGGTTAGTGTTCATGACTTCATGTTTATGTCATCTTAATGGTTAATCTCAATGCACACACATTTTCCGTGCTTTCCAAAAGTTTAAAATTGTTTTATTCCACTGTTAAATAACCTGTTCAATACAAACATGCCACTTGTACAAATTAAATAACATTTCTGTGAACTGATATTTGTTTAGTGAGCTTATTAGAGGATGTTCCCTGAAAGATTGTAAAATGTCAATGAAGATGTCAGACTTAGTATATTTGTTAATAATTACAATACATGGAATTTGTGTGTGTGTGTGTTCCAAGTGAATCTGCGGCCCACTGGTGGCCAGTAGGCTACATAAATTATGTGGCCCACACCACCATCCAAGTTGCCCATCCCTGATCTATGCTTTTGTTAAATCCACCAGACTCTTTGGAAAAAACTGTAATTTTATTTGTGACACAAAAACACAAAAAAACAAATGCTTGTGTTCTGCGAGTTAAAGCCGCTATTTTTTAAATGGAGTCTGGTAGCTTTGAAGACAAAGTGAATACTAAATATAGATAAAAGCCCTTTGGTCTCACGACATGGCAAAGCTAAAGGTTAAAATATTCTCGATATGGCATACACTTAATATAATATAACTTCTCGGAAAAGAGGGTGTGCCAAGTGCTACCCACTGACTATTGATAATTACCTCATACAAACACAATTCAAAACCTCCAAACTTCTCTTAATTGTCTACATACAGCAATGAGCAAAACATTTAAATAACAAAGTGTAACACATACCATATGTACAACGTTACAAAGGCCTGCGCTCCTCCTATGACGTACTGTGCTTTTCTCCAGTCACGGATGCCATAGACCAGACCAGCCATGACACACTGTCCAAAAGCTGCAAACAACTGGCTCATACAGGAAGCAAAGGACCTTTTGGTGACCCCAATCCACTCTGTAGCTACAAACATAATTTAAACACCAAAATCACTGCAGATCTAGGAATGAAAAGGAACCAGAAAATTCCCTTGTTGTGATTTTGACCATTAATCAAATGTTGGTTGGTTAAAAACAAGTCATACCTAATACGGTGGAGTTAATTCTATATCCCCCGAGGGCAGCTCCAACTATGAACTGCGTCACTATGTAGACGTAGACATTTGGAGACACACCAGCAACTATGACGAATATTTGCAAGAGCACGACTGGTAGCTGGGTGGTTCTCCTGCGGCCGTACCTAAAGTTTAGAGTCAGTGGTTTGAAGGTTTAGGCTTTCATACATTTTGCACATTTCTAATATACCTTTTTCAAGTAACTCACGATTCAGCTGTTGGTCCAAAGATGAAAGAACCAGCAAGTAAACCAGACATGAAGATCGCCTGCACAACCTCAGCCATGTACGACTTGTCACAGACGAGATCAAACTGCAAAGCAGCAGAATCAGTAGAGCAGTGGCACCATCAAAGAAACCACACAACATTCTCTACTTACATCAGTGACTACGGTGGCTTCATACAGCGTTCTGGAGTACACCCATCCATTCTGGCACCCTGTGGTCTCATTGAGTCCGTTCTCCCTGATGGAACCAATAGACCAGTTCACAGGGATAAACATCTGACACTTGCTGAAGGTCCCGTCATCCTCTCGGGGCAGAGTCAGGTTCAGCTGCTCATCTGTGGTCAGGTTAGAGTCTGCCCGAAGGATCCAGTCTGTGTTACAGTGTCTATCTGGATCTGAATCCATAAAAAGAAAACTACAAAAGAAAAGGGGCATGAAGACATTTGGGAGGGTTAACCCAAGAAGGATTATTTTCTGGAACAAACCAAAGTCGCCAATAGTTCGCAAAATCGCTCCAAAATTAACCATTTTCAAACGGCTGATTAAGTGCGACACCAACTCGGAGACACTTTCTTCCAAAAGCTCAAGTCGAAATAAATGTTTAACCTTTGTAACTGAATGTGTGGTGAGCACACAGGACCAAATGGTTGACCTGTTAAAAGCAAAGAACACGCAGAACGAGGCATCACATTGTAATTAACCATTGTCCTCACCAATTGAATTCCATCATGTGACTTTATTCAGCTACTAAATATCATTTGCATTTGTTGACATTTTCCAATAATCTATACATGCCAAGGAATCTCCTTTGTATCTTATCACAAATATTCCACTTCAAATTATGCATTTGTCGATGTACACATTGTATAATCAATGATATTTAAAAAATATATGTAATGATCTGTAAAAAAGAAAAGATTTGCTCGCCAATTAAGTGATTCAATTGATACTAATAATTTGGTGTCTCCATTAAGAGGCAGAATAATGTTGTAAAGTAAACAATAAAAATGGAAAGAAATTAAGAATATCTAAGTGACTTTCAGTTCAAAGCATTTGATGATCAATCATTTTATCACCAAAATCTCACACATACACACACAGGGGGGAAGAGAGTGTAGCCTGTGCTGCCCGTCTTATGAAAATTATATTTTATGCATTAGCATCGGACAGGTTTCGGTGAGAAAACTGCATATCAGGACGTCAAAGCACAAAGTGTGTGATTACAAGCTGCATGTAATCCCGAAAATATGCATGTTAACATATCAATAAGGTGCCAATTAAACAAATAATGTGTGCATAAGTGATGCTTTGATAAAGGCCAACAGTGGAAAAACACTACAAAACAAATTCAACTGTGTACTGAAAATGAGCAGTCTCAATCTGCCTTAATCTATATTTACAAATCAAATGTTCCATTTATCTGACAGGTACACTTAAACAGTCAATGCATCTACATGGTTACAAACAAACCTCATGATGTTTGTGTGACAGTGCATGGAGTTGCCATCATACATACATTTACAACATCTTTACATACACCATTTACATCAGTACCTGAACTCGGAGCCATGTCGCAGGCCTTGCACAAGGTACTAAACAACCATACAGCTACACAGGGAGTGACGACAGTGATTTGTTGGTGAAAGTTTAAATAGCAAAGAGACTACAGTACTGGCACAACAACTTGCCTAGTGAGAAGGAACACAAACTGAATAATAACTGGCATCTGGAGAAGTTTAAAGGCTTATTTCACCCAATATAGGAAACATTTACCTCTAGGGGTTTCTCTTAAGATTCCTGCTGCCCATAAATACAATGCAGGTAAATGGAATTTAATTTGTGATAAGTGTAGCGTCATGCTAGCTGCACTGCGAGGCTCTACTAGCTAATAGCGTGCTAACGTTTTCCAATGGCAATGCTAACATGCTAATGTTTAGCAGGTGTAATGTTCGCCATGTTCACAATCTTAGTTTAGCATGTTAGCATGCCAACATTAGCTACTTAGCGCTAAAAACAAAGCACAGCTGAGGCTAATGTGTATGGTATTAGTTTATTGGTTATTTGGTCATAAACCAATTCAAAATGTTTTTATTTTTTGATATTTTGGTGGCGCATTACAAAGAATCACCAGTGACAAACGATTTAGGGATCTTAAACATATTTAGCTCATTACAACGCATTATTTAAGCCGCTAGCATGACTACATTCCATATACATGAACTGTATGAAATAAGAGGCAGATAAGACCAGATGTATCAGCTAAATACCACTTGAGGCAAGTGACAAAATATTACTTATTTTTTAGCAATTTGGGTAAACTGACCCTTTAAACTATATTTTACTTTGGTTGATCATTTTCAGTTTTTGAGCGTGCACCACTCCACAGAAGTTCATCGTCTGTCAGCCTGTAACACTAGCAGCTCCAGACTCAACTTTCATTGCCAGCATTCAGGATTCTTCCCAGCTGTTAGATCAGTAATGGTAAATGGACCAAGTGATCCCCATCTACACGGGGACATTGACAAACATTACCCGCTTCTGTCTGTTGTGCCTGTTAATGTTTCACTTTGCTTGTTATAACGAAAGTAAGTCTCACTGCAGGTTCCTGAAGCTGCCTGTCTGACTTTGTGAACTCCTAGTGCAGTACAAGCACAAAAAGTAAATGTATTCATCTCAAGAGAAGTAATATTAGCAGCCAGTGGTCACACGTGGCGAAAAGAAAACACCTATTGCCAGTGGCGAGCCGTGAGCTTTATACCTAGGCCCTCTGACCCCCACCCCTTCCCTCGAAAAAAAGAAAAAAAAGAGTTATTACGTCACAGCGTATACTTCAGCGGAATATCAAAACAACGGCCCAGGGTGCAAAACGCATCAATGACAGCGACCCTCTACCACACAAAACAACACCTGTGAACCCAATTTGTGTTCTTTGACATTGAAAATGATATTGCATTGTGTTTGTTACTTTCGTTGCAGTTGTATGTCTTAAGTGTAATTTGGCATGCTTTTATTTTGAAGGCGAGTTCACGCTGTTGACAGGAAGTTGTTGTTGCTATGGAAACAAGAAAAGTTTCACAGCGGGCGGAACTTGTCATAAAGTCCGCGATAATAAAACCCACCCATTTAGAGGGAAGATATGATTGGTCAATTGTACTGTCATTTGACATTACTCTCTCGTTCAGTTACTATAGCGGGCCCTCTGTGAATCGCAGAGAGGGCCAGACGAGCTTCTTTCATGTAACCCTTCACATTCAAACAGAGACTGAACAGGCAGATTCGAAGGATTTATTTCTTTGGAAATGTTATTTTATTAAATCAAGTTTTTTTTCGGTAAAACTAATGAAAAATATAACAAAGATAATATTAAAAATATATATATTTTAAAAAAATATATTTTTTTTTAATGTTTTTAAATATTATTTTTTGGAATATCTTAGGCCCTCACAGAGGGCCTAGAGGGCCCTGACGGCTCGCCACTGCCTATTGCATAGTAGAAGAATATAAGCCAGGTCTAAATCTGTGAAAATAATGCTGTCTTTGAACATCTCGGGCAACGCCATCTGAAAAAGGGCTGGATGGCCTACCTGCCTGTCAGCCTTCCATCTGTGCACAAACTTATCTCGTGCCCTCATTGGTCATGTGCGTTCGTGTGTGTTGGAGGAGGGGCTCTATAAGGAAGTGGCAGATTTTCTCCGGTTGTGTATTTTCAAATTCTAGCGATCTCGAGCCGGTTTCTCAAACTTACCTACCCTACCTTTAATACCATTTTTTTTAATGTAAATTAATTCCATGCCTTTTAAGACTTTTGAATGATTCCCAGAAAAACAGAGTTAAGCTTATGTTCCTTTAATTCACTGACTGATTTTCAGCATCTTACAGAAATGACAGCCGTAAATACCTACAATTGAGTAAGACATTAGCAAACACACAATGTGACTCAGCAACATTGAAGGCCAAAGAGCATCCACAATAAATATTGTATTCAGCAATGTATATCTCACACGACAAAAACATCTTTAAAAAAGATTAACCATATCGGCTAGAGTTTGGTGGAATTTCTGCCGTTTTGTTCGACCACGTTGGAGTCACTGCCCATTTTCTTCGTGCTCATATTCCTAGAAAGTAAAGGAAGACACCATTAAGACATCAAAGCTTGATATATGTCTTGTTTCAATTAAACTGTAAGATATATTAGGACATTGTAATTTTCTATTACATTGTCGTGTTTTTACGGATAAAGAAAAACAAGAAGGGGATTGCGATCTTGTCTAATTAAGTTCTAGTGTGGATGGAAGCCACTGGTTGGCCTTGAACTGACTCCCAATAAAAGCCAATATTGCCAAATGAACTCTGTAAATCATGCAACCATCTTACCTGTTGCCCTCGGTCTCATCAGCTGAGTCAGGCAGCTCTGTTCTCCGGGTCTCAGGGAGCAGGAAGACAAGAGCTCCACTGGTCACTGCAAGGCTGCTGAAGACTAAGATGGGTATGGCCCAGTGGTAAATGGCCAACATGTTGAGCAAGGGGGACATCAAGCCTGCTCCTCTATAGGCAATAGAGCCAAAGCCAACGGCAGTTTGCCTGAAAAAGTTCAGTTAACTTTCAAATGTATAATTTCTATAATAACATATTTTTCTGTATATATTTAATTTGCGTACCTGACAGAAGTGGGAAATAACTCCTGAATGTAGATCAAACATACTGAACCTGCCCAGTTCAAAAAGAACTTCCCGGCGGTAACAAGGGCTGTGATAACAATAGCGCAGTCTGAAACAAAACAAAAGGGTTAAACCCCACAGATGGTCAGATGCATTTCTCATCATGCAGTGAACTTAAAGGACAAGGGATTCACCTCGAGGGAAAGCCAAGGTTAAGAGGCAAAACAACCCAAATATTAAGGATTTTTTTCTCCCAATTAACTCCAAAAACCAGATACAGAGGAGATGTGCGGGCATCTCAGTGATCCCAAACAGGAACTGAACCAGGAAGATGTTCAGACCAAACTTACCCACATTCAAAACTACGCAGAAGTAGCCAAGGTTTAACGAAAACCTTCAAATCACATGAACACAAACATGTTACAAACCTTTAAGCAATTATTTTATAAAATACATTTCAAATTGTGCTTAACTTACCAGGCGAAAGATAAAATTAACAAATATTTAACCAGGACTGCTGAGGTAAAAATTGCTTTGATTCCCCCACTTTTCACTTCCCGTCCCCCGGTGACCTGAAGGGCAGATGGATTAATATAGTGAAGACAAAACTTTGAGCAGTGATTCTATGAATTAGGCAGCAATTACATTCATTCTGATAAAGGGTTGATATCCCTTCAATAGGCAATATCTCTTTGCCCTGTTACACCCCTTTGTTTACAATCATATTTTAATTATATGGGTAATGTGTACATTTAAATTGACTTTTAACGAGATTTCATTGAACATTAAATATATAAAGGTCACATTTAAAAATAATAATTTGAGTATCTGAAAAGCAATTGGGATTAAACGTTTCTTTTTTTATTAATTCAAAAAATGAATCGCTGCAATGTGCATAAAAAGGAATTTGCTCCTCAATGGAGTGCCATCCACAGGTCAAATGTTTTAGCTTTGTCCAATAATTAGTTTGATGACCAAGTACCTTGGAAACTTATAACACCCTCATTAGCCTCAGCTTTACTTTGTGTTTAGAGGTTGTTAGCAAATGTTAGCAAGCTAACATGCTAAACTAAAATGGTGGAACTTAGAAAATATAACAACTTCAAAATCAATGGATTATAATTGTCATCGTCAACATGAGAGCTTGCTGCTGTTAGCCTTAATTTTAAAGCACCACTGTTCCTAGTAAAGCCCCACAGCAGTGTTAGCTTGGCTGTAGACTGTTAAATCGACAGCCATGCTAGCACTGCTTATAAAGTATATATTCACAAAATCCAATCAAATTGTATCTCATAAACCTCGTCCAGCAGGTTATCTGGGATTTTCCTTTTGTTGATTGCTGCGACTCTACGTATCAATTGATTAGCTCTTCAGTTCTTCCCTGTTCCAGCAACCACCTTGCAGATTCAGGAATCCACCTGAAAAGATTAACCACAATCCAAATGTTGAATTCACTCACAAACGGTTATTCATTTAAAGTGGACCTATCATGCTATATTTGAATAATATATTGTAGGGCCATACCTAAAACATGTCTGTCAAGTGTTTTTTTTCAAAATACCAAACAGATCATGCATTTTAGCCATGCCTCATTTCGCTCTATTTGCTCTTTTCCAGCCCTGTTTTTGCAAGGGCTGATTCTGTGAGAAGTCTTCTTCGCTGCTTTTGTGGCAGACTACAGCGCCACTTACAGGCCTGGCATATGTACTACAGCGTCTCCAGCGCTTTCGAGCGGCAATGGCCGTGGCCGTGGCCCAACCCCCCATTCCCCTGATAGGTGGAGAGTTGCCCATAAAGGCGGAGCTCCCTGTTTCTGACGTCAGAACAATTTCAAATCTGTATCAGTCTGTATCAGCTCCGTTGCAGCCCCGTTTTTAGAGATTTGGGTATGGAGGAAAAGAGAGAGGGTTGTGTTTTCTGACACTTGGTGAGTTCCCTGACACACCGGGGACACATATTCATGTATAAAAGACGTACAAAAGTGCATTTTGCATGATAGGTCCCCTTTAACGGAGACAAACTCAAAATGTGATCTACCAACAAGGTGGATTACACAGTCTTCTTGAACACACTGGTTTTGCAATACACATGGTTTATTTGGTAGGTTTGAACAGAAAGTGGGTTAAAAGGACTTTAGTAGCCTATCTAATCAGTGTAATAACTACAATAGATGGCGGTGGGCACACCCCCATTTTGGTGAAGCAGGCAGGATTTGAAGCACAAGGGATTAGCAATGTAGTGCTGTGCTTGGGGGTCAGCAGCAACACCTAATTTAGTACCTTAAATTATTTAAGTTAAATAAAGGCCCATGAATATATAATGTTTTACATTTAGCATCAAACAACTATACAATGTCTCTGACAGTGAACTAAAGCCATTATCTATGCCAGGGATGGGCAAATGGCGGCCCCCCACCTCCTCTTATTGCGGCCCTCAGATTAATTTATAAACAACGTAATTAATAAAAAATAAAAAATTATTTTGCATTTTTTTTACTTGTAAAACCCTGTAGTAGTACTGTAGTACTTTTTACTTGTCGTCCACTAGACTTTTAATTACGTCGCGAGCTGCGTACATGATTTCGTTCGGCAGCCAAATACCGCGAAATAATCTGTGACGCGTTTGTGTGTATTGTGTTTGTTTCCACTCACAAGAAACGCCGGCTGTTGTTATGCCTGCTGTGACGTTAAGTTACCGCTTGTAATTATGCCTTTACAAGCTTAAAGGTTGTATTTATCATCTGAATTTGGCAAAACAACTTTCTAAAAACCAAGACTTTGTTTATTTGAAATCAGATGAAAACAAACTGTAACGGACCCTGCCGTGTTATCTATGATTACTATACGCTTTTCAGGAGGGGGAGCGGCGCTGAGGAACAGCAGAGTGCGGGTTGAGAGCATTTGAGACTGAGGTGTCTGTGTTGACATTCCCCTTATTGTGCGTCAGCAGAGACTACAAGTGTCTTTGGTTCAAGTTAGACAACTAATGTCTGGGTTAGTGTTCATGACTTCATGTTTATGTCATCTTAATGGTTAATCTCAATGCACACACATTTTCCGTGCTTTCCA